GATTTGAACTTTCGCCCTCAATCCCGAAGATCAGATTTAAAAGTTAGCGCCTTAAGCCATTAGGCCACGAGCGCGTGTGACGTCATGACATCCCCCAACTCCACAAACAAACAAATAAATAAATAAATATGATCGTAAAGGCCACACGAGAATTGCTCTCGCGTGAGCTCTTTGGGGACAGAATTATAAACCCCGCTACGCGAGGCCTTCGGCCTCGCTTCGCGAGGAATAAACCCCGCTACGCGAGGAATTAAGTCTGTTAATAGCTAACAGTCAAAGCCGAGGTCACGATCAAAACATGTACACACGGTACGGAGAAACTGAAAGTTTGAGATTAAACGCAAAAAACAACGTCGTGGTTGGAAAGATAAGCCTATTTTCCGTATTTCTGAACAATAAACTAATTTTCAAAAAGAATTGGGGGGTGTAGAAAGTTTTCCAAAATGGTTTTCATCAGAGGTCTATAACTAGAGGTTTCCATCTAGCATTGCGCGCGGCCCATCAGATTCGCAGTTAGGCTATTTTTAGACATTTTTCGCGCGAAACCAGCAGCCAATCACGCACCATGCCTGACAAATATGGTCACTGAACGCGCTAGCTCGACAATTTTTGTTCAAGACGGTTGACAGTTAAATTTGAAAAGATGGCTAAAATTAAGTAAAAAACCTTGGCCCTTCTAAATCAAACAAAAGTTAATTCTACTAAATAATGCACGAAGTTTGGAACGAAATATTTAATGGGAAATTCCTGTAAATGTACAACTAATGCGACTGAAAGAGCACTAAAGGCAGCCTGAAATTAGTTTACGGGAAGATCAGATCCGAAAACCGCGGACATATAATTAATTCGTCCAAAGAATGAAAGCCTGTTTACAACACAAGTTTAAGCTTAGTCTATTCAGTATTGTTACCTTGTATTTCGAAGAGGCTTGTCAATTCCAGCTGAATTAAGTTTTTACAATCAGCACAATAAATATCCACGGCAGTTCGTCAAGCGTTCGTGACGGTCAGATCACTTCACAGTGAAATTCTCTTCGAAGACCACTCTCTTTCTTTCCATCCATGTAGATATTGAGGGTTTCCTTTGTTCTTTTACTTCAATGAACTTGATTTTAAGCTCAGTTCGTTTCAACACAATTTAGTTTAAGCTTATTAAATTCTGTAGTCGCGCAAGTTTTGCCCGCCGTATAATGTAAACAAGTGAAACCTTCGGCTGCGTATAGCTGTCCGTTCAACTTGTAAAATGAATATAATGTTCAGCTCCACAATTATTTCGAATCTTCCCATGTTAAGCTAAACCATCGGCACAATTTTCCAGAATATACGAAACTTTGGAGAGATTGAGCGAAGATTTTAAATCCGCGGAGAACACTTTTCATTCAACTTGCCAACTGGACAGCGCGCCAGTCCGCCAGAAGTTTTGCCGCCGAATTCATACAAATCATGCTTCATTTAGATTGAACTGAAAAATCACTCAGTCGATTTATAGTTTTACAAAAAGTATACCGAAGTTTGACCTAAATTTAGTGAAGTATTTAAACAATTATTACATTCTGCTGTGACGCTTTTCGCTTTTCCTTGGCCAAAGTTTCTGTCTTTGCGTAGCGCTCGCCGCATATCATTTTAAAGATGGTTCAACTTCAACGTGATTGGCTGCTGGTTTCGCGCGAAAAATGTCTAAAAATAGCCTAACTCCTAATCTGATGGGCCAAGGCCCAATACCAGAGATGGAAACCTCTAGTTATAGACCTCTGTTTTCATTAAGAAAAACGGTCCGGAGCTCCCTCACATCGATACCATCGCATCGCATCGATCGATCGATGTGAGGGAGCTCCGGACCGTTTTTCTTAATGAAAACAATCTTGGAAAACTTTCTACACCCTCTAGTTCTTTTTGAAAATTAATTTATTGTTCAGAAATACGGAAAATAGGCTTATCTTTCCAACCACGACGTTGCTTTTTGCGTTTAAGCAACCAAACTTACAGTTTCCCCGTGAATTACCCTAAAAGCTCTATTTAACCCCCCCTCTCTATTAAGCCCCCCTATCTAATAAGCCCCCCCTTTGAAGTCAGATTTTGTAATAAGCCCCCCCTCTCTATTAAGCCCCCCCTCCTTCCGTCAGGCTGATGTAAATTACTTTTCAGCAATATTTTCTGGCGTTTCAGTCACTTTATATTGAAACGTGGTCTTTAATTTCTAGAACTATCGTCGAGTTAGGGTATAAATGACGTTTCCTTTGTAAGACGGTCATACATAACCCATTTCTTGTTCTGTTTTAGTTAGTCAGTGGTGTAATAGTAAAGTTTGAAAAAATAATGTGAATTTTCTTGAAAATTTATGATTTGAAATAAGCCCCCCCTCTCTATTAAGCCCCCCTCTCTAATAAGCCCCCCCTTCTTGAGGCCTGAAATTAAATAAGCCCCCCGGGGGCTTAATAGAGCTTTTACGGTAATGGGATTTTGAACCCCCGCGCGCTTGAGCCCGCGATTCTAGCCGCATGCCAGCTACGTTTTTGTGTGGTTACGTACCATAAAATGAATAGTTTTATAACTGGAAAATGACGACTTATCAGGACTTTATAACTGAAAATGAAGATCGTGATGGTGTTACATTTAGCTGGAATGTCTGGCCGTCGAGAAGTCACTCGAATGGTTGGCTGAGAAACTTTCGAGTTTATCAGAATATAGTACTGAGGTTTTGGAGCTGAGTGAGTCATATGTGAATCTTTTTCCGATTTCCTTTACTGTTACCGTTGGTTGCATGTACACACCATTAAGAGAGAGGCCAGAGCTACCCACAATTTGGTACGATACGTTCTATGTAGTAGGAACACTTGTAGAGCCGTTTTGAATTCTTTTTGGTGAGTTTTAAATGAATTGTTGTTTTGACATAAGCTTACATGTATTTTTGTATTTAACAAATAAAAAGCCTCCAGTGTGCTCTGTTCTGTTATAAAGCACGCAGGAAGCGGCGCGAGCACGAAAGAAGTGCAGGGGGGAACACGAGCCGAGTTGAGTGCTCTCGCCGCTTCCTGAGTGCTTTATAACAGAACAAAGCACAGTTGAGGCTTTTTTATTTGTTTTATGATAAAAATCTATGATTTTCCTCACACATTTGGCTTTATTTTCAAAACAAACTTGGCAAATGTCATGAGCACTCGTGAGCTCCCGTGCTTTCTACTGTCATAAAGCACGCGCGCGCGCACGCTGTTTAAACCAATCAGAGCGATTGTTATATTGGCACTATATTATAAAAATGTACATTATGTGGCACAAGAGCGTCTATCCGGGACTATTATTGACGAGACTTTGAAAGCCCTAATCCGGACGGGTCCTTGGTCCGGAAAGCCCTGTTTATTGTGTAATTTTTCAATAGGAAACGTTTTTATAATAACTAACCTATCCGAAGATTTATTGATCTGTTTGTCTCCTTAATCTCGCTTAAAGGCGCTTTCCTGTTGGTAGTAAATGGGGGGTGTCCCGACCAAGGACCTGTCCGGATTAGGGGCCACATACTGTACAGTATCGTTCATGTGTAACGTAGCACCTACACACGTAAATTGTGTGTAATATTTTCCAGTCAATCCACCATACGGAAAAAGATGGGCGACTGGTACATTTACCCATAATTCTTAGTGCACGAAAACCCTAAAAACGCTCATAAAAACGCACAGAAAAGTTCTAAAAACTTCAAACATATACACAATGTTGTTAGTACAGGGACAAATTTCACAAAAACATGGCTTTCTATGTGTCTATTGGCTGTGTTAGGTTCGCAAGGTATTGTGGTAAAATGTACCATATTTTTCCATACGGTGGATTGTAAGCCCCACCCCCCCCAACATTGGGGAATGGTGGGGACATGGATTTTCAATGTTACCTTAACTTGAAATTCCCCACCCCACTGGAGCATTCTTTGCTGTAAACTTGCACACATTTAGAAAAATAGAAAAGTCATGCAGTTTTCACGCGAACTTCGCCAACGGCTGCCATCTTCGACTAACTCTTTAGCAGTTTTCTCTTTCGACAACTCAGAAGCGACAACTCGGAAGTGACAAATTGGAAGCAACAACTTGGAAGAAGATATTCTGGGGGAGGAAGTTAATTCAAAAGCTTGTGTGGCTACTAACAAAGTATAACTAACCTCTTAGAGATTCGTAAAGTTCTCCCACACCCCCTCCCCCTTCCTTACACATTATACTACAAGAAGTCCCTCCTTTGTTAGCGACAACTCGGAAGCGACAACTAGCAAGCGACAACTCGGAAGCGACAACGTGTGACCCTTATCTGCTTCCGTACATTTCTATGTCTGATTGAAACGAAAAATAAGCTAACATGTTGTCCAAGATGCCAAATTTTGCAATTTTCTGGTAAATTTATAATATCTTATACTATCTGTGACATGAGCGCAAATGCATGAGCGAGAAAGCACATACTTAATAATAGCATTGCTTCGCGTCGGAAAATGTTTTTTATGTAATCGCCACTGCACAGCTTCATTAAAACTTTAGCTACTTAGTTCTTCGGACAAAATATTACAAGGAAATAGCATTATTTAACAAATAAAGAAGCCAAAACCATGTATTATACTGTCATAAAACACGATGGGAATTTGAGAACACGAGAGAAATTTAGAAAACACGAGCCGCAGGCGAGTGTTTTCTAAATTTCTTGTGTTCTCAAATTCCCGTCGTGTTTTATGACAGTATAATACATGGTTTTGGCTTCTTTATGTGCTTTAAAATATAGATTTACGCACGCGAAACGATAAAACACGCTTTTCTATGTTTTATACTCTGATAAAACATGGTTTTTAACCAATCAGAGCGCGCGCATTTTTCAATCTATGTTTTAAAAACTGATAAAAGAGTTTTAGTATGATGATAAATATATGAATGAAATCATATATATGAACTGCAGAAATGAAATGAAATGGATAAATGATCATTGCAGTTGTGAATGCAATTTAAGCAATTACAATTTTAAACCAGAAAAAAATTCTGGCTTCAATGGGATTTGAACCCATGACCTCTACGTTGCTAGTGCGATTCTCTACCAACTGAGCTACAATGTATGAAGCCACACGTTGGGAGCAGGCTGCTCCCAACGCTAAAATTGCAATTGTGCTTAAATATTGCATTCACAACTGCGATGATCATTTATTCATTTCAAAAGAGTTTTAATTCACTGAAAGCCAAGACAAAAGTCTCGCCGCGGCCGCTTTATACAATTATTGGAAACTTTCGCTTCCATGTAAAAATAAATGGTTGCTTCCAACCCTGTGATTTTATACATGTGTTATTTTGTTTACAAGTTTTTCTGTCGTGGCCAAAGAAAAGAAAGATTTATGATATATACCCACCAGATGATAAAAAATGCTGTGAAAATTTGTAGTTTCTGAATGTCTGTATATTTTAAAATTAAGTGCGTGTGAAGCCCCCCCCCCCCCCCCCCCCCCACAGGCCTTGGAGGTCCACCTATTGTGGATTGACGATTCAAAACAAAGTGAAATAGTAGTGCTTGTGCTCGAATTCGATAACTGGTGTAGTTTGAAAATGAAGTCTGAATCAACTGGTTCATCCAATAAACCAAAACAATCGTGTTTACACATCGTCTTCATCGACAAAGACAATGTCAAACGAGCACTGTTTTCTTCATCCAAATAATCACTCCTTTGGCTTGAAAATCTCTTTAATCAAAAGTCTGCAATATGTATTTTTAGTATTCTTTCATCGGTATTCTCTAAACTTATAAATTACATACACATAAAGCTTCTGTTTGTCAAAAATCCATTTTGAATTTAACTGAAAAGTTCCAGAAATATTCAAGTTTTTACGGTCGCTTTTGGCTGCCAAAATGCACTCTCACACAACCTAATCTTACAAAATTTCCTGGGAAGCATGCCCCCGAACCCCCCCTAGAAGCTCGCACCTTTGGCGCTCGTATGACTGCACCTTTGCCACTCCAACGCACCCACCCTCATTAAAAATCCAGTCTATGGGCCTGCAATACCTTGCGAACCTAAAACAGCCAATAGGCACATAGAAAGTATGTACAGCCATATTTTTTTGCAAAATTTGTCCCTGTACTAACAACATTGTGTATGGTAGGTTTGAAGTTTCTAGAACTTCTCTGTGAATTTTTATGAGCGTTTTTTAGGGTTTTCGTGTGCAAAGAATTATGGGTAAATGTACCAGTCGCCATCTTTTTCGGTATTGTGAATAATTGTTCCTCGTAACTCGATACGGCCTCAGTGACTGTTAGTCTGAAAATATTCCAAATGAATCACTGGAAACAAACTTACTTCGCCAAATTTGCCAACTGTGTCTATTGAACAGATACATGTATCAGTGATTCAGTTGGTGACGTCCTTTATTAAGTAAACCTAATCTCTAAGGACAGCATTTGCGAAGCCTGACACCTGGCAGGATTCGATGGAGCAAGGGCAGAAAAATAAAAAAAATTAAACTTCCAACATTCTTGTTTTTTCAAAATCTGCAGAAGATTGGCAAAGAATGTGATCTACCAGAAAAAATGTATGTTTACCGCAGCAGCCACCAAGCACTATATTTGACCAGTTTCTTCCTTAGCGCGCTCACTCGATGCATGATGTGGCATGCAAGTGTGACATGAATAATGTGCGCAGTAAGGATGTGCACGAACAATAATAACTTAGCGCAAACGTCCTTATACAGAGGCTGTTTCTGAAGATCCTCATAACCAATTTGGACCATATGACAGATTTGAGTAACACTTAACACCTTGACACCTAGTGTGTGTCGCGTGCTTGAGCAGAAATTAAATTTGCAAGCGATGTTAAAAACAAAAACAAATGTGCAGTAAATATTTACACATTGTAGGCTTCCCAAATTAACTTCTTATTAAACTGGAATGGTTAAATAAGTTATTTCCGACGGCAAAATGACTATTGCGTATCAAGTGTTACCCATAAAATAAGCTTGAAAGTAAAAAGTGCTAAAACTATGTGTATAAAGCAGTGAAGACGGCTTTGTCCAGGAAATTTAATACGAGTATGCAAATTTCCTTTGTTGACACAGCTGATACTTTCGAAAGCGAAACCTGTGATTTGACGAAGGCAGAAAATGGGACAAAAAGCTTTTCCTGATAAAAATTTTATTGAAATACATGTAAACACCACAATTCCCTTTCAAAGCAAAACACTTTCGATTTTTTTTTTGTGCGTGAGGCCACACAATGTAATTTTAGCTCAATATTATTTGGCTTTCCAGACAGATTCTTATAAAGGAAATCAACATCTAAAAAGAATGATTTACCATGATGTAGCATTCTCCAAGGCCTTGAAAAATCCATTTGAAGTACACGGTCTGTTTTTAAATTTTTAGCCGTAATCTTCTCTTCCCATGAGTATCGAAGGAATACAAAAAAAAATTGAAGGAATACAATGCAAAAGATCGGGCAATCGCTTCTAAGACATCCATGTCCATGTTTTTGCGGTAGGTATGTTTTGATTGTAAGGGGCGAGAAATACAGTCTTGAAAATTTAGAAGCGTGCAGCACAAGATGCCATTTTGCTTATTTGCACAGTTCAATGTGGTCGGAAAAAAACTGCCTTTCTGGTACCCCCTAAAACCTACCAAATATATGCGCAGAAGACTGATTGGTTTGGAGACAAAACAACCCTCTGTTGGGGAGGTAGGGGATCGTTTCAGGTTTAAATGGGTTATTGTGGTTAGTTTCAAAACACATTTCATTTGGGTTCTAAATTTATTTTGACAAAGGAGAGAGACCCTGGGAACGAGGTTCTTACAGGAGGGGTCTGAAATGGTGATTTTGTGGTCTTGAAATTTCCATTTTTTCATAATTTTAACACGTCGCTCTCACTTCCCTTAAAATTCATTGCCACACATCACCGTATGGTTTGACTATAGTAATACAAAATGTAGTAATAGTATAGTAATAGTAACTTTATTTAGACACGGTAAAAAACATCAGGCCTTACAAATAATAGACTTAAATTACATACCTTATTATAGGAAATTAATGCTCCATGAAATTAACGCGAATTTTAAAAATTTGCGTTAATTTAAGTCGTGTTAATTTTTGTGAGCATTAATTTCCGCGACATTAAGGACGGTGCCTCCTAATACCAAAGTATTTTTGCGCGGTTTATGACTATGCGGGAAAAGCAGATCTTAGCAAGGGCTATTGGATTCCAAAAAGAAAATTGGGGGTAACCACGCATTTTTCAGAGATAATCAAGCTTCAATCTGGAAAAAAATGCTGAAATAGCATTTTCTCGGAAAAAAAGAAAACATATTTTTTCGAAGATTCCCTTTGAATTTGCCTTGACATACACGAAAGCAACAATAAATATAAAAAAGCTTTAAAATACTTAACAAATGGTAATATAACAACTACTGTTTGTGTTTTTTTAATTAAAAATCATCGCAACGTAGCCATTATCAACCCTGACAGCTCTCCTCTGGTATACCAAAAATACAGTCTAAATAACTTTTGCACACAACAAAAAATTAATCATATGTTTAATAGGCTTACCGCTTCCATTTTATAACATAAAAAGTAGGGGTCACCACGCGTTTTTGTAAGTTATATGAAGAAAACGACCATATATTTCCCTGCCGAGCTTAGCCTTAAATAGATTTTGCAATGCTCTGTATGTGCGCGCGCTCGAGCGCGCGCTAATGACGCGAGAAATTATGCGCAGAACGTATGCGCAGTAACAATAGGAGGCACCGTCCTTAATTAAGTGGAGCGTTAATTTCCGCGACCTTAATTTCCATTATTATAACCACAAATTCTGGAGCCTGTACAGAGATATTTCACACCCAGGAAACAATAGCTTTCTCAGTTCTGCACACTGTATTTGAATCTTTTACAATGTAAAAACCATAAAGCCTAAGTTACAATATTTCCAGTTCACCCACGCTTTCAGAAGAGCAGTTCTGGACATCTGAGTTGTTGTATTTCGGCCAAAATATCTTTGTTACTTTGTGCTAATCGCGTTAATTTCCTTCATTTTGAAATTTTACCTCCTCTTTCGCGTTAATTAACAGTTATTCTTCGAGGACGCGCCGGATATATAAACAATAGCCTCCATTTGGCGAGGAAATATGCTCGGATATTTGTCCGCGGACATTATCTGTTCCGATAAGCGAACAGTTTTCCGAGAGCGAAGCTCGAGGAAAACTGTGAGCTTCGAGGAACAGATAATGTCCGCGGACAAATATCCGAGCATATTTTTGAAGCCAAATGGAGGCTATTGTAGTTATTATCCTTCAAATATTTTTTCACAAGGCCGCTCTGTTTGCCGTGGAAGATCTCGGTCGGCCAAGCTGTTAAACATCAAAATAATTATGTTGTCGTTCAAAAATATTGCTAGTCTGTTCAAAACAATCAGTTTTATTTAATTTAGCAATTTATTTGAGACGAAAACTGAACCTGCGAACGTGAAACGCAAATTTTCAAAACTGGGGAATATCACCCGGATATTCCCCAGTTTTGGCTGCGTCACGTGACGTGTTTAGACCAATCGCGCGCGAGAAAATTTTTTGATGGATTATAAGAACTGATATATATAACCAACGAGGCGCTTCGCCGAGTTGGTTATAATCAGCTCATATCCGGCAAGTCCGAGAAGAATAACTGTTTTAGTAAATTTTCAAACACTCAAATAACCGGAAGATGGAAAAAAAAAAATTATTTCCGCTCCAAGAAAAATACATGCCTACAATACATGTACAACAAATGCAACTGAACGAGCACTGCATGCAAGGAAGCCTGAAACAACTTTGTTTACGGGAAGTCCCGAACTGAAACCAATACAAATCTGCACACATTTAAACTGAATGAAAACCTGTTTACACTACAATTTTAAGCTTAACCTATTCAGTATCGTTACCTTGTGTTTAGAAGAGGCTTGTCAATTCCAGCTGGAGTAAGCTTTCAAAATCAACACAATAAATATCGGGAACGAGAAAGCATAAATATCGCAGTCGATCGATTGTCAAGCGTTGGTGATGGTACAATCGAGGAGGACCACTTCACAGTGAAAGATCACTCTTTTTCTCTCCATCCATGT